ATGGCCATTTTAGAGCAGAAGAAAAGAAAGACAAGTAGCAGACAGAAACAGAAGTGGGAAAGAAAAGAAGAACCCTCAAGAATCGCCCAACAAACATCCGCGATGAAAGAATGAACATGAATACTTTACCAATAAATTGTACAACAAAAAAGAAGACCAGTGAGATAGACTCCACACTATAAATTTATTAAATATACATATATATCAGCCTGATGTACAAAAGGAGATTTTGCACAGTTTCAATTTTGTACAAAGAATTCTGAAAGCCAAAGGGTCAATAACGTGGGGTTGGAATTCAGTTGAGATACAAGTAGTAAAGAGTCAACATGAGATCGAATCTAGTCACGCTGGGGTTTGAGCAAAGTCATGATATGAGTACTAAAAGGTCAATAACAAGGGGTTGGAGCTAAGTAAAGATACAAGTTCTAAGGGTCAACAATGTAGGGTTGGAGCCAAGTCAATTTTACTATACCAAGATGCAAGTACTAAAAGGTCAAAAGCGTGGGTTTGGGGCTAAATCATGATACGGGTTCTCGAAAGTTAACAACGTGGGGTTGGAACTAAGTAAAAATATATGGGTTCTAAAGGGTCAAAAACGTTTGGGTTGAGGCTAACTCGACTGGGTTCTAAAGGGTCAATAACGTGGGGTTGAGGCTAACTCGACTGGGTTCTAAAGGGTCAATAACGTGGGGTTGGAACTAAGTCAAGATGCAAATCCTAAATCATCAACAATGTGAGGGTTGGAGCTAAGTCAGAATAATAATGTAGATCATTTCTACGGCGCCCACTCCCGTGTGAACACAGCTCTATGCGCTTCACACAAATGCATGTACAAACAATATTCATGCACGCACACACAAACATGCATGGGCACAAACACGCACATGGGCACATACACGCACATGGGCACACACACACACACACCCACACACGCACAACCACACACGCACACCACACACACACACCACACACACACACGCCACACACACACACACCACACGCTTACACGTCGTTACGAAATGAGCACATACAAATACATAAAATAATATACACAATGCATATCGCAAAATACGAAAATGGATACAAAGTCATTTACATAACATATTGTACTGAACATGAATCTACTGGCATAAAAATGAAATGTCTTTAAAGATACGTTAAATTTAGACTAGGTGTTGTATGTCACAAGGGTTGGGGAACAGAGTTCCAAACTGATCAAACAAGGTGGGCAAACGATTTTTCAGCTGATTTTTTACCTTCTTTTCTAGGAACTTAAAAGCTACTGATCGCCTAAACTTAGTGATCTAGGTGAAACAAATCTGGATGAGATCACTAAGATGTGATGGAGCTATTTTATTGACACATAATATGACACAATATTGCAATTTTATATGGGTTCTAAAGTGTGAGTAACGTGGGGTTGGGGCTCAGTCAAGACATGGGTTCCAAAAGGTCAAAAACGTTGGGTTGGAACTAAGTAAAAATATATGGGTTCTAAAGGGTCAATATCGAGGGGTTGGAGCTAAGTCAGAATAATAATGTAGATCATTTCTACAGCGCTCTCTCCCGTGTGAACACAGCTCTAGGCGCTTTACATAAATGCATGTACGAACAATATTCATGCACGCACACACAAACACGCACATGCGCACACACACGCACCCCCCCCCCCCCCACACACACACACTGACACACCCACACACACACGCCACACGCTTACACATCGTTACGAAATGAGCACATACAAATACATAAAATAATATACATAATGCAATTTCGCAAAATACAGAAATGGATACATAGTCATTACATAACATTGTACTGAACATGAATCTACTGACATAAAAATGAAATGTCTTTAAAGATACGTTAAATTTAGACTCAGATGTTGTATGTCACAAGGGTTGGGGAAGGGAGTTCCAAACAAAAGGAACAAGGTGGGCAAACTATTTTTCAGCTGATTTTTTACTTCCTTTTCTAGGAACTCAAAAGATACTGCTCGCCTAAACTTGGTGATCTAGGTGGAACAATCTGGATTAGATCACTAAGATGTGATGGAGCTTTGTTATTGACACATTTATGACATAATATTATTGCAATTTTATGTGGGTTCTAAAGTGTGAGTAACGTGGGGTTGGGACTAAGTCAAGACATGGGTTCTAAAAAGGTCAACAACGTGGGGTTAGAAGTAAGTCAAAATATATGGGTTCTAAAGGGTCAATAACATGGGGTTGGAGCTAAGTCAAGATACGATTTTTAAAGGGTCAACAATGTGGGGTTGGAACTAAGTCAATACATGGGTTCTTAAGGGTCAATAACGTGGGGTTGGGGCTAAATCAATACATGGGTTCTAAAATTAAAGGGTCAATAACGTGGGGTTGGGGCTAAATCAATACATGGGTTCTAAAATTAAAGGGTCAATAACGTGGGGTTGGGGCTTAGTAATACATGGGTTCTTAAGGGTCAATAACGTGGGGTTGGGGCTACGTCAATACATGGGTTCTTAAGGGTCAACAACGTGGGGTTGGAACTAAGTCAAGATGCAAATTCTAAATCATCAACAATGTGAGGGTTGGAGCTAAGTCAGAATAATATTAATGTAGATCATTTCTACGGCGCCCACTCCCGTGTGAACGCAGCTCTATGCGCTTTACACAAATGCATGTACGAACAATATTCATGCACGCACAAACAAACATGCACATGGGCACAAACACGCACATGGGCACATACACGCACATGGGCACATACACGCACATGGGCACATACGCGCACATGGGCACATACACGCACATGGGCACATACACGCACATGGGCACATACACGCACATGGGCACATACACGCACATGGGCACATACACGCACATGGGCACATACACGCACATGGGCACACACACACCACACACACACCACACACGCACGCCACACACGCACGCCACACACGCACGCCACACACACACGCCACACACACACGCCACACGCTTACACATCGTTACAAAATGAGCACATACAAATACATAAAATAATATACACAATGCAATTTCGCAAAATACGAAAATGGATACAAAGTCATTTACATTACATATTGTACTGAACATGAATCTACTGACATAAAAATGTAATGTCTTTAAAGATACGTTAAATTTAGAGACAGATGTATGTCACAAGGGTTGGGGAAGAGAGTTCCAAACTGATGGAACAAGGTGGGCAAACGATTTTTCAGCTGATTTTTTAATCTCCTTTTCTAGGAACTCTTAAAAGATACTAATCGCCTAAACTTAGTGATCTAGGTGGAACATCAATCTGAATGAGATCACTAAGATGTGAGGGAGCTTTGTTATTGACACATTTATGACATAATATTGCAATTTTATATGGGTTCTAAAGTGTGAGTAACGTGGGGTTGGGGTTAAGTCAAGACAACATGGGGTTGGAGCTAACAAAGAAGATATGAAAAATTAAGTTCTAGTGGGTCAACAATATACGCCTTAGGCGCTATGTCAAGAATAAGGGATCTAAAGGGTCATCAATGAGGGGTTCACTATAAAAGTATGCATTACATTGGTGGTACAGCGAAATTTAAGGTGGGTTACTAATAATATGACAAGGTATTTTTAGAGAAGCCTTAATGCAAAAATATTTAAAGCCAGAACCATCAGTGCGAATGTTCCAATTTTTTTTTTTAAACGAAAGACAACGAAACGGTAGATAGCAATATTACGTACTGTTTTAAATTGAATCACATTAATCATAACAAATGTATAATTTTTAAGAATATTTTCAGGACTTATAAATGGCTAGGGGGGCAGTATTTGAGAAACACCTAAATCTGGCGCTCATATGACCTTATGCAATTGCGAGAGCCGTAAAACCTCTACTAAAACTAAACTAAAAAAAAAACACCTAAATGCAAAAAATGAAACTTTCTGACCCACCAAAGATTACTCTTTTACTTTAACTGTAGAAATCATAAGTCACATAATGTCTTACATTAGTGAGTAGAGAGCAAGACATTTCAAAGGCAATTACATTCTCAGGCTGTCCATTGTTCATCACAATTTACGGTCTACCAGTCCAATAGGTTGTCCTTCCTGCAGGCTGTCCATTGTTCATCACAATTTACGGCCTTCCAGTCTAAAAGGTTGTCCTTCCTGCAGGCTGTCCATTGTTCATCACTATTTACGGTCTTCCAGTCCACTAGGTTGTCCTTCCTGCAGGCTGTCCATTGTTCATCACTATTTACGGTCTTCCAGTCCACTAGGTTGTCCTTCCTGCAGGCTGTCCATTGTTCATCACAATTTACGGTCTTCCAGTCCAAAAGGTTGTCCTTCCTGCAGGCTGTCCATTGTTCATCACAATTTACGGCCTTCCAGTCTGAAAGGTTGTCCTTCCTGCAGGCTGTCCATTGTTCATCACAATTTACGGTCTTCCAGTCCACTAGGTTGTCCTTCCTGCAGGCTGTCCATTGTTCATCACAATTTACGGTCTTCCAGTCCAATAGGTGATCCTTCCTGTAGGCTGCCCATTGTTCATCACAATTTACGGTCTTCCAGTCCAATAGGTGATCCTTCCTGTAGGCTGTCCTGTCCTACTGGTGGTATCAAAACACCCACCACAGGAAAGTCAAAGGCGAAAAGAACAGCTGACAGTTTGATCCGTTGAGTATACATTTTACAGCCCAACTGACACAATTCTGACAGGGCAACACCAACAAGCTGCACGGAACCATACAGTATAGAAAAGTAGCTTTCAGCACTCAAGTTGAAAATCAACAAGCAGCTCTTCCAAGCCAGTTCTACTCCTGTCACCCCCTTCCCCCCTGGAAAGACTCAATCTACCCCTGCCACCCACAACCCCCCCCCCCCCCCAATTCCCCGAAAAAAAACCCTGCTAC